GTAGTCCTTTACAGTTTTGTGAAAAAGATGTGTCAGGAAAGAAATTGCGTAACAAAAAAGCGACTTCCCCAAAACACTTGAAAACCAAGATTCCACGGCCGCAAATAATTCGTTACATTGAAGATAGTTTGCGTAGAGAATTTTATCGTGAACATCCATACGAACTGTTGAAACCACAAATCCTGATGGAGAAAAATGAAGGAATTGTGGAAGATCACGGAGAATTATTATGTAATTTGAAATTCCCTTGTCGGGTTACTGGTGAAGAGTAAATTAATTTAAACCTTTTGTAAATTTTATTTAAATTACTTTTAATTGATTTGTTACCACAAATTAACAAATTAAAGTTTTATTCTATTTTCTTTTTTTTAGTGTGATTAGATACCAAACGTATTTAATGAAAGATCAAAAATTTGGAAAACATCAGGCATATGTCGAAGCCTGTAACGAATTTTATAAAATTCGAGCAAGAGAAGAGGTTGCGGAACGCGTCGCAGAAGAGCAAGCTCTGTTATTCGGATCTAAAATAAGTCAATCGCAAACCGAAAGATCCTTATGGTTGGAACATAAGAACCTTCAAAAGTCTGAACCACGAGTGATTAATCAAGTTTTGAGAATTATGTCTTAAAATGTAATATTATCCCTGTTTATTAAACTGTTCTTTGTAATTCAATTAAATAATTGTTGAATCAAATGTTTCGCCACCTTGTTCAAGAAAATCTATCTCTTCTTTTGTAGGTTTTCTCCCCAAGATTTTATTCCTATGAGGAAATCTACCAAATCGTTTAATTATGTTTCTATGGGATTCGGCGTAAGCAAGGAAACTTTTCAACGTCTCCGAATAAATCTAAATTAAAGTTACAAAAGGAACAACAATTAATTATAGACATTTTGGTTGAACTTACCAATCGCTATTATCAATATATCTTAAATACCTCAGGGGCGGTATCAACTTGCCACTTATGTTTCTGTAAACTGAGATCCTGATCTTCCATTTTCTCGGAATGTTCTAGTGGCTGGAAAATTGAACTTTGTTCTGTAATTTTCTGCGGAAATATTAACATAGCATTAAAGATTTTATTATAATACCAAATAAATGAATTCTCTTTGAATCGGGTCCAATTTTTCATCCCATTTACGATGAATGCAATATTTGGCAATTTCCGATGCGAGTGGGTCAAAATCGACAAACGGTCTTGCAGTTCCACGAAATATATTACGAGGAATTTGATCGAGTAAGATCGCTAAACTTAGGGTTCCCTTTAAGAATGCAAAAAAAAATAAATTTAAACATTATCATTAATATGAAATTAACTAATTGCAATATATGAATGAAGCTACCTCTGGAGTTTTTTTCAAATCTTCAATATACATTCTTTCCTCAAAAATATCTTCCAAATCTTTGCTAAAATGCTTTCTGCATTCGGTATCTACTGTTGCTCCACCGGAGAACCAAAATTGTATTAAAGAAAGCGGAAGTATCTCTCCATTTTTGAAACCTAACATCACATAAAAAAAAAAGGAATAATTATTTATAGAAAATAAAGGATTTGATTATCTCGTTCTTCCTATAAAATACAAACCTTTAAACCAAAACGAAAGAACTTTTTGTTTTAATTGAATTGCTGCGGATGCCATTGGAAATTTATTTATTTCTTTTTTTGTGGGAATTGCGATTACCGATTCCTTTGTTCTAGAATATATTGGAATTTGCGATTACTAATTCCTTCATCTAAATTATTAAGAAAACGATGTATTATGTAATAATAAAAATCATAATTACTACATTTAATTAATGGGGAATTTTGTATACGAGTAGAATCAATGTTAATTGGTAGCATTGATAAACCTGCGCAACACTTTTTGTTGATTGGATTTCCATTACGGAAAAATAAGCAAAACTTTAAAAATTTACACTTGGGCATTCACGGACATTACGGAAATTAGCTCCTTTTAAAAATTATTTATCTTGTGCTGTCAATAAATCCTTGCTCTAGAAGCAAAGTTATATGATGGCGTTATTTGCAACATTTGTGATGTGATACAATAATAAAATAAAGATAAACGTCAGAATAACCAACCATTGACCATTGTTCCTTAATAATGCTCTTTAATTACAGAAACAGTATATAAATTATATTAAATCAACATGTGATTATCTAAATTTGGTTTCTTGATGAACATAAAAAAAGTGAAATTATTAGAATTGAAAGTTTTCACATTTCCCTTTCTTCCACATTACTTAGTTTCCTCTTTTTTTTTTTTACCGAATTCATTCATTGATATTTTTTTTTTTAACTTTATACATTCCTTTCATTCATTTTTATTTCATCTCATGGAATAAATTCTATTTTTTTTTTTTTATTTATATTTGAATAAATACATAAGGATACGTTGAATTGTCGTTAATTATGTCGAATTCAACCATTTGCGAGTGAGTTTTGTGTTTTGATTTGTTCTTTTTTTCCTTCACTTCAATTTTCATGCAAGAATCGATGTTAATTATTTTCAATTTTCGAAGGTTCACTTATAGTATAGTCAACTGCGAAGGGTCAAAAGAATATAATATATTGTACATAATTTCAATAGCATTGTGGTCTATCATTTGTATATTTTCTTTTGCTTTACTTTATTGGAGACTAAAATACAGGGAAGATTCAAGATTATTCACTGGTAAATTATTCACTCCTTTGGAAGGGTTTCTATTATGGTGTGGAATAAATAATTTGAGTAAGAGACGAAAACTTTACGTGATTTCAACATTGATTTTTGGCAAGTTTTAATGGTTTAAAATTTTTAATTATAAATTCACCCTAAATACATATACATATATGTGCATATCCAGCACGCGTAATCTGTTGTGTCGTTATATTTTTCAATTTCCTTTTTGAATATCCGATAATTCGCGAAATCATCTTTGCATTCAGTTGGTCACCGGGTTTCATAGGAATTTATAGTTTTATAGCGGGAATGTTTCAAACCATGACGCGAATGAAATTTGAACAATTTACAACAACAACTTCCACGCATCGAACCTTTGAAAATGTCATAAATGAAAGTAATCATGATGAAAGTCGATCAAAAACCATGTGGATTCCACAAGGTTATCAGGTGACCATCGCCTTTTGGGCTTTGACATTTTTACTCTTTTCTTTAACTACGACCTCTTCTATCATGATGGGATTGAATCGAAATCTTTTACATGAAGAAAATGGTCCCGTTATGAGAAGGAACAAAGCATTTTTATATGCGAATGGTTGTCTCTATGGCACTTTTTGGTTTCATTGTACTTTTATTATTTTCATCTTGACGTTTTATGGAAGGAATTTATTAAGAATGACAGAAGAAAGTTTTATGTTAACAGGAATTCAAGACGCCGGTAGTAGCAATATTCCTGATAGAATAAAAAGAAGGTTGGAAAAAGCAAACATCACCTTCAAAGCATATATTAATAAGGTAGATTATTTTTTTTTTGAATTGAACTCACATTTTATTTTATGTTATATTATTTTATTGTATTTTTTTTGTTATTGTTTTAGATACGTCTATTTAATTGCGGCATCTTTATTATAATGTTATGGTAATGAACCTAACCAATAACAGTTATGAAATTTATGAATGACAAGAACTCACGTGATTCTCACTGTAGGTTCAGCGCGTGTTTGATCCCCCTTGCCGTTTACTACGAAAAGTTATTAAGTGCTCTTTGGATTGGTTTGTTGTATACCGCCATTTCAAATTTTGCACCTTCGATATGTCTTTTCGCGATTTTAATTGCAATTGTACGAGCGTAAGTAATGTAAATTGATATATACTCACATTTTTTTTCACGTGAAATTTTTTTATTAAATATTTTATTTGAATTCAAAATAATAGAGAAATGAATCCGGACCAAGAAGCAGGTTTGTATTTAATTTATATCGAAGCTTTCTTAATTGTTTTGATTAACTCTAAATTCCTTTTATTTTTAAAGCCACCGCAGTAGCAGTTATTGAATTGAATGAGATAAATTCATTTTTTTCAGACGTTGAATCTTGAGTATACCGGGAGGAAAAAAAAAAAAAAATCAAAATATATATATATATATATATATAAATTGTGCGAGATTTTTTTTTTATTATTTTATTTTTTACGAAAATGAAGATATCGTTAAAAAATGAAATTTTATTCGACTTTTTTTTTTTTTTTTTTCCTGCTTGTAATATTCATTAAACAATAATGTGTAAAATAAAAAAAAATTAATTAATCTTTTATAAATAAAGTTTAGTTAGTATCATTTTCAAATCCTCGAACAACGCTTTTACCACCATAGAAAGTGGGTAGATTTTCTTCTTCAATTAAATCCAACATAATTTCTTTTACACGATCCGCAGAGGTTAAGACAAATTTCTTCTTTGTTTCTTCAGCTAGAAACATTGAAATAAATTTAAACATCCAATCACCCCACCAAGGTATATTAACGAAGAGTTTCATGGCCTACCATGAGAGAAACAAAAAAAAAAAATATGCATATTATTAATTAATTCAGGTCAAAATTAATCATTTAAAAAAAAAAATTTTTTTTCTTTTTTTTTTTTGGTTTACCAAAAATTCGGGGTAATTTTCTTGCATAAGTTCAGTGATAAGTTTACTAGCTTGTTTGACGGTTTTATCATAACTTGAAATAGTAACCAAATTGTAATCATGTACTTGAATCATTTGATCAACATTAGTAAAATCCAACAATTTAACCGCTTTTTCCATTAATTGTACACGCCATCTGATAAATTGATCCAAATTTCCAAAAACTTCTTGATTATTGATCCCTCCGTAAAGGTTATAAGTAACGGGTCGAAATTCTTTATCATGTTTATGAATAAACCCAACTTTTGCGAATATTGAACTAGGGAAAGTTTCCGAGAGTAATTCATCGGTTTTAAAACCAATTCTCCATTCGATAACTTTTGTCATCATTACTTTTGCTTGACTTACATCAAGTGACCTAAGAAATTAGGGGATAGGGAATGTGATTATGAATAATTTTATTTTTTTTTTTTTTTAAAAAAAAAAAAATTGTTAATTTTGTTTAAATCTTCACCTGGCTCTTAAAAATTTAATAAGGATAACGTCAAGTCTTTCGTCTTTAGAATCTTTGTCCAAAGCAATGTCCCAAAGAGTATAATTCTCCGGTGCATTGGCACCTTTTAAAATTTCTGGAAGAAGCTCCTTAAGGTCTTGAACCGCTTTCTTTTCATCATCGGTAAATTTAGCAACAATCGAATTGCTAGAATTGTTCCGCGTTTCGGTCATATTTTTTTTTTTACTGTGTGACAAATATTTTCGATGACGATCAATTTCTGAATTAGCTTCAGATATGAAAGTTCGGATTTTTTACCTCTCTCGATTTGAGGGAAAACGAAAAAAAAAATCAATTCTTTCTTAATAGGTTTAAATATTTTATAATTACTAATCAAGTGTCACAACATAAAAGACCAATTTAGTTTAGTGGGTCGAAAATCATTTTTAGATGGTGCAGCTTTCATTTTATCGCGCGTTTTTTTTAACGATCATTCACGTGACATCAAACTCGTCAAATATTTATGAACCCCATCTATTTATATAAAAGCAGTGCTTAGGTATTTAATGATAATAACACATGAGCCTTATCTGAGGAATATACACGGTTCATATCGGACACGTGTTTGGTACAGCATCCTTAAAGGATATTTCGTCTTTTGTAGATGATGTAGAAGGAGGAAGGAGGACAGAATTTTAAATATTTTAACATTGTCTATGTTAATAGGAGCGACATGCAAAACACATAATATTAATAGTTACTAATATGAATGGGGTATCTAAGAGAGAATAGATTTTTCTTTACCCGATCATTATTTTTTGCCAAGTGAGCAGCTATTGACATTATAACGTTGGATGAACATAGGAGAAAAATTCCGGATGAACCTTCATAATTTTAACCATCCTGAAAATATTGGATCTCGATATCCTAATGGAATCCATGACAACGTGTAATAGATGATGAACTTGATTCTCTTCTCCTGTCTTTCTAGTTATACAAAATGTCCAAGAAATTAACTTTGGAGCTCCTGTATCCCGAAGAAATGCTTCGTATCACTGATGAATTCATCATTATTATTCCGATTAACTTCGTAAAAATGGCGAGCATTTATGATATGAGAAAGGAATGTAACGAAGCTTCAAAGGTAAATCCTCGAAAATTTCTTAATCATCAGACTAAGGATTGCTTTGGAATCTACCAAGGGAAGGAAAGGTATTACCCGCGTTATTTGAAATATGATCGATCACATATCAAAGAAATCAAGAATAATACGGGTCTATACCTTTCAAAGTTGAAGTAGTTCGTAATTTCTTAATGTAGCATTATGAATCCTATGTTGAAATTTTCAACTTGAAGAGGACGATTGAACGACTGATGAGGAAAAGAAAAGGATGATCTTCAATTAAGTCATCTATTATCATTTATTAATGAAAGAAATAAATCCCAACGATATATACATACTCCGACATCTTTACATTAAGATTAATATATTATATAGTCAAGTTATTTACTTTAATTTTGGCACAGTTAATAAAAATCCCATGTTGAAATAATCTGCTATAACTTTCATCATTTTTTTAACATTACGATTACCATTCATACTTGTTAATACAAGTGCAAATAGTGGATTCATTAACTGTTCTAAATAAGTCGTTGTCGCTTCTTCTCCTTCAGATAAGTAATATGCTCCAATGTAAGCTTCAAACGCATCTGCTACCTTCTTAGTAATTCCAAGTTGTTCCATTTTATTTTTTGTATCAAGTCCAAGAGTTAAAGAATATGCAGCGAGCAATTTGTTTGAGACCAAAAAACTAGTAACTATTCTGATCTCTGAAGGAGAATAACGTTGAAGATATTTAGCGGTGGCAAATCTCAAAACACAAAACATGAGAACCTTATCACCAAGATATTCAAGCCTTTCCCATTGATTTCGGTGTTTCAAAAATCCTGTTGACCATAAACGTAAAACAGCATTTGAAATATAAGGAAGTGCCGGAAGATCAGTTCTCCATTTTGATGGGTTATTCTCTGTTATTCAAATTAGTTTTGATTTTTTTTTAAAAAAAAAAACACTAATAAATTTTCATTAAACAAATAACGAATGAGAAAACTTACCTTCATCGGAAACGCAAGCTTTATGTTTAGATTGAATAAGTTTAGAATATTTACGCCTTTTTTGACTTTTCTCATTATTAGGAGCAACTGGAATAAATCTTTCACCATCTGTTTCATAATCATCAGAGCAATTGTTTATACCTCTTTTTGCATTGACAACTATTTCAAATTCATCTTTACCAATTTCTATACAATCGATGTCTTCCAAAGACATCATATCTCTATATATAAGAATCTCTTCATCGTCAGAATCGATTTCAATGATTTCAGTTTCATAATTATGGTCATTATCCAGCACTATAATAGGTATTTCCCAATTATCCCCAATTTGATTTCTACTTGATTTTGATGTCGACGTTGCGGTGGATTCAGAGGATATTGTAGAGTTTTCAGATCCTTCCTTAGTCATGGATCTTTTATTATCTTGTTGGATATTTGAAATATCCACGGAACCTTTCTGTTCCTCCTTCAAAAGATTCATTCGCTCGTCATTATAAATAAAAGGATCCATCAATGTGGAGTTCGTTTGTTCCCCTTGAAGATTTACTGAAGTATTTTCATTAATTAAAGTATTCACAACACCTCCAGGATTCAATGAGACTTCTTCATCAATTGATGAATTTATAGAACTTTTCACAGCTCCCCCGGGTTTCACTGAGATTTCCTTATCAATTGAAATACTCATGGAATTTTTCTCAACCCCCCGAGGAATCACTGGAATTTCTTTATCAATTGAAGTACTCATAGAACCGTTCTCAACCCCTGGAGGAATCACTGGAACTCCTTTATCATTTGAGGTGATCAAAGGATTATTCAATAATATGTCTTCATTAACAGACATATCATTCTCTTGAAGATTCGTTAACATTTCTCTATTAGAATTTTTAAAAACCTTGGATACTGCCATGATTGCATTTTGCAATTCAATCATCATGTTTTTCTCCAAATCCATCATTCTATTGACATCTTCTAAAGACATTCCATGCAAAGTACCTAACATTGTCGTGAACGAGTGTGCTAAATTTTGAGATAAGGTCTCCATATGTAAATCACAACTAGAATTAGAATTGGAAGGATCTAAATTTAACGTATTAGATTGTTTAGATCGCTTAGACTCATTTCTCACAGGTTGTCTCAAATTTATTTCATAGGACTTTTCAACATTTGTGTCTTTAGGTACTTCAATGTCTGTTTCCATAAGATCATCAATTATTGGATCTGATCGTGCGTTCGACATGTTTGCTATTTTATCGAAAAAAAAAACCAAACCTCTCTTTTTAGTTATAAATTATAAAGATATTTATCTTGGATAGCAAGCCTTAACATAACAGGCAAGCTAGAATTTCTAAAATATTTAAAATACCTGTCAACCTCTTTTTTTTTCCTTCTTTATTATTCTCTTTTCTGGAAAAAAAAAAAAAAATGAAAATGAAAAATGAAAAAAAAACAAATAAAAAGCCTCCGAGACAACGCTGAGAACTGCCATTTCGAATTATAATAGTTTCTCAAAATAGTAGGTATCAACGTTGTGACTCATTAGACTCATTACACGTGATAAATAACTGTTTTTTAAAAAAAAGGAAAATTTTCATATTAACATACGTATTTCTCAATAATGATATATAAATGTATTTTTAGCTACTTTGATCTAAATAAAAATTTTTTTTTTTTTAAAAATTAATTTTTAAATTTGTTAATATCTTAAAAGATGGCAACCAAAGAAAAAGTTATACAAGGATATGATGTTACTTTGGAGTTCTTGATGGAGGCAAAGAAGAAGTTGGAAGATTGGGAAGAGGAAAATGGAGGTAGATTAAACGAGTTGGACAAAGGAGTTGAGAAAGTTAAAGAGTCAGATAAGATGTGAGGAAGATGAGAAAAAAGGAAAATTCTGGAGAGGAATGAAGAAGATTTGGAAAAGGAGAGAGTTGAATTGGAAAACGAAAAGAAGAAGTTAGAGGATGACAAGAAGGAGTGGGGGAATAAGTTTAAAAAGTTCGTTGGAGAAGGTAATGAACAAATTGCGTAAAAAAAATTATTTTTCGTTCGTTCCATTTCGTTTATTTATTCGATATACTGCTTACAACTTTAACTTTTTTTTTTTTTTTTTTTTACGCAATTATTAACGTTGTTTTTTATATCATTGATACATTTGTTACTCTTTTAAGATGTTTTCATACAAACTAAAGGAGAGAAGCGGAAGGTGGAAGTTAAAATTCTACATAATTCTTTTAAGAATTTGCTTGTTTAAACAAATTTTTCAATACTTGTTTTCATGCCTTTAAATGTCATTTTTTTTACCTCCAATAATCGGTATTTGACTTTTATTTTTAGAGGAAAGCCCAATTGGAGTACAGAATAAGATTATAAAATTAGTGAAAGAAAAGAAAGTGGATGCGCCGTTCATTATGATCGCCTTGAAAGTAATCAAGGAAAAGCAAATATAATGTGCCACCGACCACCAGAGTATGTTGGACGTCCTGTGGTTTGGTTTTGTGATATCTTTGTTCAATTTCATCAAGATTTAAAAAATGCAGAACCAGTTCCAAAAAAATATTATGATATTGCATTGAAACTGTGCAAGGAGATGTCAAAAACTTACCCTAATGAAAATGCTAGAACAAAAGCTTTTGATGACTGTTTTTCTGATGACTTATCACCATTTTATAATTTGAGAAAATTGTTTTAGAAAATGATCGACTAAGTGATGGATTTCTTTTGCATCACATAAAAGATGCCTTAATTGGAAACCGTGAGTTCAAAAATGAAATCGGTGAGTGAATAAGTACTTTTTTGTTTTTCATTTCTCAAAGAAATCTCCTGATCTAATATCAATCCATTTAGGAACTGGTCATGTGGATCCATATCTCCAAGGTGTATATTCATGGCTCAATTATTGGTCAACTGATAGAGGTGATTTTTGGCGTAAACAATGTTGTTGTCCAGGTTTTATTATATCTGTTGCTGGATCTTGAATGATGGTTTCTGGTGCTGTTTTGCTTGAAAAACCAGTGGTAGACCTTACATTCCTTTGATGCTATCTATGGATACTCATAACATGAAATTTATTGCACAGTTCTTGTGGGCTTTGGAGAGAGGATTTAATAATCTTAAAGAATATTATGATAAAGTTGTTTCAACTAAAATCAATTTCAATCTTCATCTTGATGAATGAATCTATTGCTCCTCAATGGTTTTTTCCTAAAAACACAGTGAAAATCAATAATAAAGATCAGAAAATAATATATATCAAACCAGTAAAGAAAAAGCTAGAGCATGCAAATATCTATTTGGCAAAAATACAAACTGATACAAATAATTCACAACTTATTATAGTTAAATTTTCACTTAAATATAATTTTGAAGCACATCAAATTTGTGCAAATCAAGGTTATGCATCAAAATTTATTAGTATAAATGATGTGAAAAATTGAAAGATGATAATTATAGAATATATTGATGGTGATATATTTTAAGAAAAGTCAGATGATAATGTTTTTAATAATATTCAAACTGCAATCCAACTTTTACATAATGAAGATATTGTGTTTGGTGACCTAAGAATGTGTAATATATAATGGTTAGAAAATCTGATAAAAAAGGAATATTGGTTGATTTTGAATGGGTTGGAAAAGAAAATATAGATTGTTATCTACCATTTATGAATTATATAGAAGTAGATTGACCAGCAGGTGCAATAGATGATCAACCTTTAAAAAAAAAACATGATTTAATTTGGTTACAAAGAATCAAATGTGGAGATTCAGGTATCAAATTTATCTTTTTCTTATAGACATTTTACAATCAACATAATTAATTGAAATTGTATTAATTGTATTAAAAATTTTGGATTTATAAAATTAAAAAAAAATAAATATTAGTTTATTAGTATCAATAGACATGTAATAACAAATACAATAAATAAAAATTTGTTATATAAAATATATGTAAATTTGTTATAATATTTTTCAAGAAAATTTTTTAATAAAACTTATAAAGTGAATATAAAATTATATATATAAGGATAAGTATATATATAAAAATATTAATAAAGATAATAAATAAAATAATTTTAATTAAAGTTTTGAATAGATTGGTTCAAATAAGTTATCTGAATTAAGAAAATCAGGTCAGGTCAAATAAAAATTTTTAATTTTCATTTGATCTGATTTGATTTGATTGAATTGCTTAAAAAGAATAATAATATATTATTCTAATTGAATGATAATGTATTGTTTTATAATAATATATGATTCAAGAAGAATAATAATTAATTGTTTTAATTGAATAATAATAAATCATTCTAATTGAATGATAATAAATCATTAATTAGAATAATAATAAATCATTTTAATTAAACAATAATATATTATTTAAGAATAACAATAATATATTTTTCTAATTAAATAATAATAAAAAAAAATAATAATAAATCATTTTAATTGAATAATAATAAATTGTTCAAAAGAATAATTGATTGATTTAAATTTATTAAATCAGGTTAGATCAGGTTAATATATTAACCTGATTTGATATTAACCTAAAATCTATTGACTTAACCTGAATTTTCAGATCAGATTAGATCAGATAAATAGGTTAATCTGATCTAATTCAGGATCCTAGTTCTAAAAATATCAAAAAGCAATTGATTTTTTAAAAAAATATTGTATTTGTAATTATTCTTCAAGAATTCTTAAGAAATAATTTGTAAAATTAAAATAATTCTTCAAGTATTTTTTAAGTTTAAGTAATATATATTTTTAATGATTTAACTTAAATAACAGATAATAAATCAATAAGCATTATAAATACCTTAAGAAAAAAATCAGGTCTAATAAAAAAATTTTCTATCACTAGAATTACAATACAATTCTTTGTCAAAAAACTTATCTCAATATATTAAAAATTAATAAGACTTAATTTAAAAAAAAATTATTTAATAAAGAATGATCTTCTATCAAGAATTTATAATAATATTAAAAAGATGCCTTAATAAAAACTAAAATAATAATTAAAAATATTATAAAAATAATAAAAAATTTTTAAAAAATTATATAAAAATCTATAGATTACTAAATCTAATAAGAAATATCAATAAAATAACTCAATCAATTTTATTTTTACTAGCTAAAATAAGTTATAAATCAGTTTACAAAGATTTTTTAACTAGTATAGAAGAAGTTATTAATTTGAAATTATTAAAATATGATGCATTCAGCAAATTATAACATCAATTAATACTAGAGATCTCAGAACTAACATATATAATACTTATCAATATTTTAAAGAAGTTTATATTCTAATATTTACCAAAAGAAAGAAGTTAAAAGATTTAAAAATATCTATTCAAGACTAAATTAAAAATAAATTATTATAATAAAAATACTAAATTAATAAAAAAAATAAAAAAAATTATTTAATTATAGTATTGTAATATTGATATTATTATATTTTAGCATTAATTAATTTTGATAATGTTAAATTAATTACATCTATTTAATATTTATTATATATTATTAATAAAATAATTATGTCTATCAAAATATAATTTAATTAGTAATTTATAAATTTATATTAAAGTATATATGCTACTGCTCATTAAAGTATGATTAAGTCTAAATATTTATATATCACATTTCAATAAGTAAATAAAATTTATTACTCTGGTCTATATAAAGTTTATTTATTTAGTATTCAAGATAAAGCAGTAAAAGAACAAATTTATAATGTTTTTAATAAAGATAAAATTATAAAAAAATATTTAATAGAATACTAATATGATTTTTAATAAAATTAAAAATTAAATAAAAGTGAAAAATATTTTAAGATTATTTGTAATAATACTAGTAGATAAAATAAAAATAATACTACTATTTAGTTTTATTTATATTTAGTAATTTGTGACTATTATGAAAATATTAAATTAAATTTTATAATTTTAAAATATATTAAATTTAAATATAATAATAATTTGATATTATTAAAAATTTTATAAAAAAATAAGAGTACAGTCAGAACTCAATATAACGATTCGTGATAAACTAATTTTGACTTATAACGAACTTTTTCCTTAAACCAAAACCATTTATAATAAAATTTATCACTATATACCGATTTTATTATAAATTTC